TATTGTGCAGATTGTTACAAAATGATTCCGCCTCATCCTTCCGGAGCAACATTTAATGCCAGTGTCATAGTTCCGGTGTTAGTCACTATATTCCTGAATTAAATGAGTAGCTTCTGTGGAGCAAGAGGAGCAGGTGCCAGCGTTGGAGTCACAGAATGATGGTTAGGACCTGGATGACTGGCAGCTGAGGACGCCACCGTGCAATTTAAATCACTGTTTGTAGAGTGTATACTCATAATAGCTAACACATGACACCTCCACCAGTTATTTACAGTGGAATTACGAAGGCAGCAGGAAGGAGGAATGTTCCCTCCATAGCAGCCCATCATCGGCTGCAACACTGTCAGCGTATAATAATGCAACACAGCCCTGTTACTGCGATTACACAGTGAGACAGCAGCAAAGCCTCAGGGGCATTAGGGGAATTCTTACAGCAGGAGTGAGGATGTATGGGAGATGGGAAGATTATAGATTTTTGAAGGTTCACTGACACAAAGGTAAGACACGCAGCTGGAGAGATCTCACACTGAGCCGCCACAAAACCAAGCTTCTCCACACATGACGGAGCAGAACAACACAAAGCTGGCTACGTATACACTACAAGACATGACCCAAACACACCGTTTACACTGTGTGTTTATGTGTGCGTGTGTGGTCCAACTACAAGTTTTTCCTGGTTCCCATGTGGTCACCTTCATGAACCACCTGACGTTTTGCTTCTGAGGTTGTGCTGACTGTGTAACTCCAGCCTGCTGTAGCTGAAGCCAACACTCCAAATGGTAATTATATTAAATGTCGATAGTTTTATCATGTGCTGACATGTGACACAACCGATGTTATTAAGACATGGGCTGCATCGGCTACAAAAGGGTTTCACGTCTGATTATTTATGAGTAACTCATCACAACATCAGGAGGAAATTGGAAATATGTCAGTGTTTTAAAATTACAACGTACTTTCAAAGGTGACTCTTAAAAAAGCATATACAGTATATATAAGGTCATGAATATATGTTAGGGTCCAAGCACTAACTTTCGACAACAGCAGTAAACACCACTGTAGCCCCCTGCTGCCACCTCCTGAACAGAATCAGATTTCAGCTCTTTAATTAAAATTAATTTTCCATTCAATTTATATTTCTTGCTGCAGAAAAGTGGAAGAACCATCACAGTAGGAGAACATGGAGACTCCATTTTTCCTTTTTGCTGTTAGGCATCAGAACTTATCACCACTCCACCACCATTGTACCAGCAGTTCAAATATTTTTGATTGTTTTTCTCTAGCAAGGAGACACAGCCATGACTCAGCTGTATCACTGATGAGGAAGAAAAACAGTGAACCTGTGTCTAACAGATGATGAACTTGTGCACTGAGTCTGAGTTATCGACATCCTCCTGCACAGAGGGATGAGTTTTGGGAGCAGTGGCCAGAGGTTTGGCACCAGCTGTCTTCTTATGAGAACCATGGGGGGTTTCCCAGAACCTGATACTCTGGGAACCACTGGCGTGGCAGGGCATCCCAGCTGAGAAATGGCGCCCACATCCTTGCCACGGGCATTCCAGAGGTCCACCACTACTTGAACTCCAACAGCAGCAGGGCAACACCCATGCATCCGTGCTGCCCACACTCGGTGGCCAGAGAGTGACTGGACCCTGGGCTAATGGTCAGTCTGTTTTGGGTCACATTCTTGCTGGATGTAAGTGGCTGCTCGTCCAGTTCAGAGAGGTCACGTCCTGTGGTAGTTCGGTTGCGTCTTGCGGTACTCGTGACAGGCTGTGATACAGAGCGAAGGGATGTTTTGCTGTTTCTTTCACCACTCAAAGGTCCCAAATCCCCCGTGATGTCATCCATTCACTATTTGAGGCCGTCCACGTCACCCTGCGGACGGTGTTTGTCCCAACATGAAGTCCAACAATAAGCAGTGCCTGTAAATGTGGCCTGCGGAGTTTAGATCATAGCGTGCTTCTGTGCACGTAGACAGGCAGCTTTCATGTCGCTTGGTGTGTTTTTCTATTCCTTTAATTGGCCTGTTTTTCTTCAGTATTTTTTATGGAAGCTGGAGTAGGTGATTTGTTTATGTTGAGAGTCAGCAAAATCACTACTCTCCAGGAACATTAACTGAGGAATGGTTGTGTCTCTGCTGGGAGGAAAGCCAAGTCCATCACAGCACTCAGCAAACATAATACACTAAAAATACACCTCCAAAATACACTACACTGGAAAGAGCTGAAGGAGTGGGTGAAGTTCTCAGAATTTTAAGTGAAAGCAGTAGTGTGTCAGTGATGAAATATTGTTTGAACAAAATGACCGACCTTTATTCTTAATGCTGAACAGAGGTATGTACTGTTGAGGACAACATTTCCAGCACATAAATATTGTCTCCAGTATTATCAACGACTTTTAATCCAAATGAAGATTTTTTTTAACATAGCAATCCTTAGCAAATGTGTTTCAACAAACATTTTATTTACTCTGCCAAAATAAAATATATATTAACCTTTAATGTCCCCTCCAGAAAAAAAACAAGGTCAAAAGTTTAGCTGTGAGCTCTATTGGCTAAAAAACACTTTTTGAAGTTGTTTCAGAAAGTTCCAGGCCTTCTGGTCTTCTGATCTATTTTAGTTCTTTCTTCTTTGACTAATCGCTCCAACTTCTCTACAGGGAGACATTTAGGAGGACAACATTTGGTTGGCTTTCAAGAGATAGTTCCTCGAAGTAAAAACAACTGCCATGAACTACTCTGCTGCTTAATCTAAATCTCATGTGTCCCACGTTTATGCAGCATCTCTACAGCTCTATAGCCCTGCCTCTGTGTGGAGTATGTGTTCTTTGAGTTGTATACTTCTCCTTTTAGCCTCACTAAATATAGGCAACACAATATGACACATGAATCAACAAATCTCAGTTTCTATGCAAAGCAATATAATGTGCGCAGTGTAAGGTAAGCTAGTATGTTCTGACAACAAATATAAACTTCATTTTAAATCTCAAGATCCTGTAGGACTGTCATCTCATACTTACATGTTAATCAAATATTTTGCAACTTGTAAAACATTGTGAAGTTTGTAGAAAGGTTCATGGAATGTAGCCTAAGTTTGGGCAAGTTGTCTATGAACTATATATTCCATACAGGAACTTAACTTTGATGATGTTGTAAACATAAAAAAACAAATGGCCAGGATTTCTGTCCTCCCCCTGATGCCCAGCGAAGTGAAGCTGAGAAAGCTGCTCAGCGAGGCTATCATTCCACTGACCTGTAGTCTGCCAGCCTGCAGACACAGAGGGCTTTCTGTGAGCAGCTAATATGAAAGTATTCCAGTCATGTTGACTTTTTTATTTTCAGTCGAGGGATGGCGCACGTCACAGTGTTTGTGTTTCTACCTGGCAGAGTGATTTATTCCATTTATTCTCACTGCAATCAGGGAGGGGGGTTGTTTGGTTTACAAACAGTAAACAAAGTCCACTGTGCGTCATGCATTCTGACTGACTAATTAAAAAAACTGGCTGTAGCATTTACAAGTCCAGTTGATTTACTCAGGGGAACAGCTTACATCACCAGTATCAGACTAAATTATGCATTTTTCTAATGTAAATATTTGCCCTCCCCCCACACCCCCACACCCCTCTGTGTCTCTTTAAACTGCAGATACCACTTGTTGGCAGCCCTGTACATCACAAAGTACCATCTTCAAGGCACTGCTTCCTGTGTGTCCCACCTGAGAGCTGTGTGTAGATCTCAGTGTGTGTGTGTGTGTGTGTGTGTGTATGTGTGTATGTGTGAGTGTAGTGTTTGTGTGCATGTTGTACGTCTGTTCCTGTCCTTGTCTCTTTACCAGTTAATGCATTAGTATGCAGGGTGTTTGTGTGTCCAGCTTGTGCGTGTTCATATGTACGTCAGTGCTCCTCAGCAGTTTCACTTCACAGGCGTCTACAGAAAGTGACACCTACACGGTAAGAATGGAAGAATCTCTCTCTTCTACTTTAAACTGTTTCTCTCTGACTGTCAATTGATTTTAAAGTTTTCTTGTTTCTCAAAACTTTGTGGGAATAGTTTTGTGATAGAATGTGCACACCCAGAACTCGCCACCCTTGCCTGCAGGTGGTGCTAAAACAATCGACTACACACAGGATATAAGAAATGCATTTCATAACAACCATGTCTAGGCCAGAAAAAAACCACAAAGATTTATAGACTAAAATACATAATCAACTCTAATGGGGCTACAAAACCTTGTGAACTGATCCCTAAACCCTAAACCTGCCAATCCTCTACCTTATTACTGACATGGGTGTCAGAGAGTTGAACTACAGTACACTGCATTCAAACAAATGTACAAAGAAACATGCCTCTCAAGGAAAATACAGGCTGAGGGCAGCATCACCAACAATGAACACACCAGCATACAACAACAAACACATTTACACACTCCAAATGTAAATACTCACAGTGAGTTATAAGTTCCCACACTGATGCCTGTTGTGTACTCTATCACCCGAGTGAACCTACACAGGGCTACATGGATATGGGCACGTTGGCTGGGTTTCTGCTCGTACTATCTGGAGATAATTTTAGTTTTAATTCCATGTTCCCTCAGTGTGCCCAGTAGTTTCTTTTTTCCCAGAACGGTAATGACCCCTCTTCCAAACAGTGGCAGCACACTCTTTGTTTTTCAAGTGACACTTGGCTTGAGAGAAGTAATTTAGCCTGTCATACTTTCCTCAGCAGCAGACTGCTTGTCTTTTTGGCTCAGTGTCGTTCGTCTGAGAAGCTTCTTTCATCTGACTGTTTTTTTTCCTGCATAACTATTACTTTTTAATGAATGTGTGTCAAATGTTTTCATCCTTGTCTTCTTTTCTTTGTGGCTTGTTGTAGGAATGCACTGATGGATATCACTGGGACTCGCAGACAGAGCATTGCAAAGGTTTATCTCTCTTTACCTGCAGTGACTTCACAATAATGACCAATAAAAGCTGATGCTGATTAATTCAATTATGACCTCTCCCCTCAGACATAAACGAGTGTGAGACAATTCCTGATGCCTGCAAAGGTGAAATGAAATGTTTCAACCACTATGGAGGGTACCTCTGCCTCCCTCGCTCTGCGTCCGTCATCCCAGCCACAGAGCCTCCCATTACACCCGCCGAGACTTTTAACCACTGCCCTCTGGGCTATGAGCCACAGGGAGACAGCTGTGTGGGTGAGTGTCTGTAGGTGTGGGAGGGGGGTAAGAGGCAGACAGGTGGTAGCACAGAATGAGTGACCATTAACACATGTTTGTGTGTGTGTAAATTTATTGTCAGTGGTCACAGACTGTGCAGGGACAGGTGGTCAAGGCAGGTGTTAGAAGTGAAGGCTGAAGTGTCAGTGCTGTCTGTGTGGGTGTGAGTGAGTATGTGAGTCCATGTGGGGCAGGCAGGGTAGGAATGTGGAAGATTTCACACCAGGACAGCTGCTCTGTTTTAGGAGCTGAGTAACTGCAGACTCTGGGTCTGCGTGACACAGCAAACGTGATTCATCATCATCAGAGCCTGGTTTGAGTGGTCAGAGAAAAATGACGCAGCATTTGTGGAGTGCAAACACATCTCTGACTGCTGCGTCCTTATTTGTCACTTCATCAAACCCAGATGTCGACGAGTGTGAGCGAGAGGACCATGACTGTCAGCCCAGTCAGCAGTGCATCAACACACTGGGGGCCTTCACCTGTCAGTGTCCAGATGGTTACCGCAAAGTCGGCACGGAGTGCATCGGTAAGTCTAAGAGTATTTAAGACCTGGATTTAACTACTGTGGATAAAAAGTTTTAAACACAATCTGTGGTCAAAGAATTGTCTCTCAGTTAGTTGAATCATCAGATTAGATTAGATATAGACATTTGTCATGTAAAATATATATAATAAAGCAACACTTGCACTAAATTCTGTAAAATGGCGTTACTTTGACACAAGATGGCTGACATTTGAGGCTGATTTTGACTTTGCTGTAACTGCACCCCACTATATACAGTGGTTGTTAGACTCCAGAAATGTTTCCAATTACACGTCCCCCCATCATATTTATAGTTCAGGATATTATGATGTAATTATTTTGGATAATGTGTCCCAAAGACATGGTCTGGTCTCACTGACCTGTTTTTCTGTTCTCAGACATTGACGAGTGCAGGTACAGATACTGCCAACATCGCTGTGTCAACGTCCCTGGTTCTTTCTCTTGTCAATGTGAACCCGGGTTCCAGATAGCAGGAAACAACCGTTCTTGTGTTGGCAAGTATTACGTCCAGCCCTAGGAGGAACAAAACTGGTCACATTGAAGCAGTGATAGAAAATGAAAAAAGTTTGAGGAGATCGTCTAAGAGAGGTGTAAACATTATTTTATGATATTAGCAAAGTTATTACATGGCTGCTTCAACCCTCACCAATAATCTGAGTTTGAAACCATGGCTAAGATACAATGGTTAATGTTAGATTACCATAGCTAATAGCTGTATATGAACACACAGCTTAGTTGTAAACAATCACCATAACATTATCTGTAAAAGTGCAAGAAGAATAACAGACAACATCAGGTCCTGAAATGATATTCTATTCAGAATAACTGTATCTGCTGATGAAGTAGTGACTGTTTCACCTCTGGAAAAAATTAGCTCATGTTGGACCCCACTGCTTCTAGAAATTAAGCAGGCTGGAAAATGTGTTGTGGGGACTTGACATTTATTTGGGTCTTTGCATTTTTTTTACTTTGAATTCTCAGTTTAAGTTTTTGATCCAGAAGCTGTAAAAAGTTTGGACGCGTTAGCGTTCCACCAAAAGTGACCACATCTTTATAAAGAGGTCCAAATTAACGGGTGTAGCTGGCGAGGGCTGCGCGGTCTACAGGGGGTAGACTGAGTAGGTGACAGATACATAGAAGATGTTTTATTTCCAAAGGTGTCAGATTTTACTAACCAAAGCGTGTTCTCACGTGTCTCTTAGGCGTCAATAGCTTTGACAAATTTCTTTATTACGACTTTGTCAAGTCTTAAATAGTGTTGGGTTTCCTGCTTCTCAAAATGTTTTCAACAAAGGTCAAATGAAAAACCTGTGACTATTATTGAAGCATTGCAACAGGATTTGATCTAGAGAAACTGAAAGAATTTTTGAAGGAAACTTGACTTCACTCCCTGGATGAGGCAACGAAACAGGTTGTGACCCTGGTGTGAAAGACATGCTACAGAAATCTACAAAGAAGAGATTCTCTGATGAAAACAGTGCTCGCAGAAGTAAAAATTTGAAATTTAGAGAAATAGTTCTATTATTTTCATTATTAACTTAATGTATTTTTTTAATTTACCTGCAAATTATGTTAAATCATAATGTTGTTAAAGAGGTTCCATAAAGAATGTGCAATACGTTCTAAAAAGAACGGCACTGTTGTGAGACGGCAGATCCTGAATTAGGACACAGCCAATGTGTCACATTGAAAACCTGAAATGTCTTTCAGATGTGAATGAATGTGACATGGGCGCCCCCTGTTCTCAGAGGTGTTACAACACCTACGGTACCTTCCTTTGTCGCTGTGACCAGGGTTATGAACTGGGGCCTGATGGCTTTGCCTGTAATGGTAAGAGACTGTCTCTTCATTGTCTGTAATCTCCATTTTCTTATTGAAATGATGGGAAGTCAATAATATTTCAACCCTTGTAATTCGACAGACATTGATGAGTGCAGCTACTCCAACTATTTGTGCCAGTACCAGTGTGTGAACGAACCAGGAAAGTTTTCCTGCGTCTGTCCTGAAGGTTACCAGCTGCTGGGAACCCGGCTGTGTCAGGGTAAACACATCTGTCCCCTGTTTCTACTCTCTCCTGTCCCGTCCTGTTCTCTCTGACCTTATCACTGTTTTCCCCCTGTGCAGATATAAACGAGTGTGAGACAGGTGATCATAAGTGTAGTGAGACACAGACCTGTGTGAACGTCCATGGAAGCTACCAGTGTGTGGACACCAACCGCTGCAAAGAGCCATACATCAAGGTGTCTGAGAAGTGAGTGACACCTCATGAAAGCTCGAGTGTGTTCAAACGCAAACACACACTCTTACACACCTTTTCCCAATTACTCAGAAATGTGCTGGCTGTCTACTCAGTATAAAATCAGTCCCTGTATTCAGTTGAGCTCAAACTTTAAGATTATCCCAATTACATTTTCCAGGTTTAGGTCCAACTTTGCAGATTTTTGTTTTTGGAATGTGGTCCAGTGTGGTAAGAAAACCATTACAGTGAACAAGTGTTCACAGGTGTGAGTCTCTGTCAACACAGTCCACATGATCAGGCTGAAGCAAATACGTTTCAGAAAAAAACAAAAAAAAAACAAAAACAATGACTACTGTTCTATAACGGTACAGCATTTTAGTTGTGTAACTCCCTCTGCTGGCTGATAAACGAACTGCGGTGATTTCCTGCCCCTACAACGACTGTATCATTAATTTTCTGTCTCCGAATCATATTTTCATCATTAAGGTGTGTATCATGCATTTCCCACAAACGATAAACACAAACAGATACATGTTTTTAACAGCAGGTTAAAAACTAAACAGATTTGAGGGTCAAAAGAGTTTTGGCTATAAAATCCAAACCATCTACAGTCTACATCTTTTGTGTCCATGGTGAAGACATCTTAAATAATGTTGTTAATATGTTCAGTGAATCTTTTGTGTCCATGGTGAAGACATCTGTTGGACGTGCCTGATGTTTGTTAATATTCCTACATCCAAAACTGAACTGCTGTAAAAATGCACAACAAAGAAGGGAATTGAGGTGAAAATGTCATTTTTCCTTTTCTCCCGTGTGTGCAGCCGCTGTGTGTGTCCTGTCAGCAAACCCGCCTGCAGAGATTTACCTTTCTCCATCGTCCATCGCTACATGACCATCACCTCAGAACGATCCGTTCCCTCGGACATCTTCCAGATTCAAGCCACGAGTGTGTCTCCGGGGGCTTACAACACCTTCCGCATCCGCTCTGGGGATGATGACGGAGACTTTTACATCAGGGTGAGGATTAGATGATTAGTTAGTTGACTTTTAATAACTACAGTAGATATTTTTCTAGCAAAAGTAATTAATATAATCACTAAGGAGTTAAACAACAGTGTTATGTATGTATACAAATACTCACTCACCTTCTTGTCTTTCCAGCAAATCAACAATATCAGTGCCATGCTGGTGTTGGCCCGTGCAGTGTCCGGCCCCAGAGAGTACACGTTGGACCTGGAGATGGTGTCAGTGAACCCCCTGCTCAGCTACCACGGCAGTTCTGCCCTCAGACTCACCGTCTACGTTGGACCGTACTCTTTCTAAAGAGGGAGAAGAACAAAGAGAAGACTGGAATAAAGAAAAAAATGAGCTGAGGGGGAAACACAGAAGCAAAAAAGATGCTGTAAAAAGAAGCTGTCTATGCAGTTCAACCAGTCACTGTGATGTTAAACTTTCACTTTTTATAGTTAGTTGTGCAAAGAGAGACAGAGTGCTGTCAGACCACCATATTTCCTGTACGTACAGTATACAGTGTGTGTGCAGCGGTTTTATGTCACAGATCAGTTTAAAATCATTGTTGCTCTAATTGTACCCTTGTAAAGTTCAGTGTAGGAGTTTGTATGATTACATGATAAAAGGTATTTTTCAACAGTACTCAATGCAGCGTCACAGTGCCATTATAATTGGAACGATAAAAGGATTCTTCTCCTCCACATCTGCTCAGTGTAGTGACAAACTGCTGCTGTTTGCTGTCAGGTACAATGATTCATGCCCGACGTCACCAGAATATTCTGTTTTCACCAGTTTTACATTCTTATCTCCAGTTTAATTCTGTAAGCCACTTCATCCCCGTCCAGCTTCGTTTCCCTTTTCCCACAGACACAATTCAGTAACCACTCACGTCAGACCTCAGCCTCCTCCACACTCCACTGTTCACTTCTACGCCCCAGATCTCCCTCTTCAGATTTTCTGATGTTGTACTTTGTATTTTTTTTTAATTTGAAGTCCATTAAAACAATATACATCTACTTGTCTTTGTGTTAAAGCATCTGTATCCTGTGTCATGCAGCACTCAGCCTTCAATATAAAAACAAACATTTGTTTTTTGTGTATACACCTCTGATAATGGTACAAGAAGACTATTACACTTGTAACAAAAGTAGTTTTCTTCTGAATACCACGGACTAGTTCCTTCTACCCCACAGCCTATGGCAGAATAGCTCAGGGGATTAGACAGTAGACATTTTTGGTCATTCAACTCATTCATATTGTTATTTATTTTATTTATTCATTATGTATTTACTTGTAGGGGAAGCTTAACCGCAGCTCTCACAGATTCAATGACAATTGACCACTTAACTGTTTAGTATTTCCGAATTTTACTTTGCCTAAACATTGAGGCGTTCTTTGTGGCATGGACCAACCTTAGTGGGTATGATTTAGCAACATCTAGTGGTGAAATTACTGTACTTGTTGTAGTAGAAAACTCCTCTCATGAACCTGTCCAAGTACGTACATATTCACCAGTTATAATACAGAGCCATGTCATTTCTGCAAACCCACAACTTAGTCAAGAAAATGAAAACATTTTTCAAAAACAGTTGGACAAAAACTGCAACCTACTAAGAAAATAGCCAAAAGTTAGCTTAACGAAATGGCAAATGTTGTTAAAGTTAGCATAGAGTAGTTGTTTAATATTAAAAGTTAGCGTAGCCTCTGTTGGATTTTGTCTCATCACTGAGAAGAACATCATGGTTTTAATATAAACTGCTGATCGTTCAGATTTATGACAACTTCATCCCAGTGCTGTTTCATCTCTTTTATTACTTCCCCCCAAGGAGGTTGTGTTTTGGCCGCGTGGTGTCTGTTTGTGTGAGTGGAATAACTAATAAAGGCCTTTGATGAAATTCCCTGGGAAATAATTACATTCTGGTTTTGCTCCAGACTCTGTTCCGATGATGACGGCATTTAAAACCTTCTGGATGTTTTCACAGGCGAGCAAGACTTTCATGTGACAGACAGGTGTGTGTGTGTGTGTGGACGAGAGAGAGGGAGTGAGATCACTGCAGCTGCAGGTGTGTCCTTATGAGCACATCCTCAGTTCAAGCTGTTTCTGTAAAACTAACATCTCTTAATGTGTCACAGACTTTCATAATTCCTAAATCATCAAGTGTTGACCAATGTGTTTGGTCAACACTTGATGATTGATTAACACTTGCACGTTTTCCCAGACTGAAGAAACCATATTGAAATGTGTGAGCTGACACGTGCAGACTGAGCAGAGGGAAGTTAAGAAGACGGCGTAAAAACAGATGTTAAAGCCATGTTATAGTAAACAACTTTCCAAGAATTATCACCGTGTTTGTCTTGTTGTGTTAATTAACGCATGTATTTGATTACTTTTACAGCCCTGAGTCACAGGAAGCAATGAAGCAGCACCTGAAACACATCAATGGAAGTCTGGGTAATTTTTAAGACTATTTTTGACCTATTTTGTAGCATGTCTTCCAGATGAGTTTCTGCAGAACATTTCTGTGTACTCTCATCCTGTTTGGAGGTAAATATCAGATGAAGGAGACTTTGTAAAAGAGCCAGGTTGAAGATAACACTGGTGTCAATGATCCACTAGTGAACCTCTGGGGCCTGGTTGTTCATTGACAAGTTTTAAGACTTGACTAGTTTTACAGCATTAGTTAATCCTCTTCTCATTTACACGAATCCTGTCCTGGCCATAATTCACAACATTCCACAATAGTTCTATTTGTAAAAGGGGGCGCTGCAGCAAAAATGACTGGGGACCACTGGTCTAAGGCAAGCTCGCTTTCGCCACCACGTGGACAAAGGAGTGAAATGATTGGTTGTAAATAGTAAACAATGGTGTTTAAATAATACCATGTACCATAGGTAATTCATTCAGACTCTTCTTATCGTGATTCAAGAATTCACATTAGGAAGGCAGAATCTTCCTTTATCACTGAAAATAAAGGGCTGAGGGCTGCAGGGAGAGGTAAACAACATTTTCTTTTTTCTTTTCATTTTACTGACAGAGCGAAATAGGAATAAGATCTAAAACGGTAAAAGAAGCGTATGAAAGGAAAAAGGGTGAAAGCCCTTAATTTACAGTCACTGCTCTTTGCTCCGCCCAATCCTACACACATATGAATACCCCACACACACCTCCCATCTGTCCTCACTGGGGGGTGATGACTCACACACAGGCACTGCTTTATGTAACAGGAGCAGACAGTGTCCAGCCACCAAGTGGCAGCAGATCACACAGATCTTCCTCTCAGCAGCAGCAGCAGCAGCAGCAGCAGCAGCAGCAGCATTATTCCAGAAATAGCAGCAACCTGAGTGATGTTGGTTCCACTTCCTCAGTAACTCATAAACCTACATTTTCAGGCTTTTCCCCAAAACACAAACAGCTGCCGATATGAAGTGACAACAATCATGTCCACATCTCAGATGCAACACACAATACAGTGACAAACCAATACCTGAGCATCATATTCATATGTATCTCCCACATCAGTGAAGAAAACGAATAATGAGTTTCTGAGATAAGTCATTTTTTACATGACTTTATGGTGATCAAATATTAGACACATATTAAAGTGTTAGCCATGCCAAGGGATAAGGTTCCTCTGAGATCTAGTTCACAGGTTTAGGGAAAAGTGTCAGAAGATTTAGAGATCTTATTTTATACACAGTATTCCTTATGGGTAAAATAAAACAGACTTCTAATGATGTAAACCTACTTTGGATTAGTTATAAGGATTTGTGGTTTTAGTTAGAAGTTAGACCTTTGTAATCAGGATTTAGTACTAGTTAAGGGAGAAAAAGTGGTAGGATTAGCACCTCATATCAAACCCACACGTGATGTCAATGGTTGAACAAGAAATCGGAAAAAATGTTCAGTGTTCCTGCTACGTGAGGCTGTGTTTGTTTGTTTCTCTGTGTCTGTGTGCAGGTCGTGGGTGTTTACATCGGCAGGCATGTGGTTTAGCTTGGCGGTGCCCACGCTGACGAGTGGGAGGAGTGTTTAGGCTGGTGGAGGGGGCAATGTACCGCCTGGGCCTCATTGTTGGCATCTTCACCTGAGTATGAGCTCATTTTGTGAGCGGGCTGTGGCCTGTGGGCAACAGTGGGGGATAGTGTGGGACTGGAAGTGGGTATAACGTGGCCCACGTAGGTCTACAGTGTGCACCAATGGCTCCAGTGTGATGAAACAAAGACATTGGACGTTAAAGACATCGCTCCTCGTCTTAAAGCCTGGTCTGAGACAGACTGCAGTGATTTAATCTCCTCCTATTGCTGTACAAAAAGCTCCCTGTGTTCAAACAATAGCACATTTATATTTGTGAATGAAAGGCTGAGGTGGAGTGTCATTACCCTCCACCCACACCATCCCAGCACTGAGATTAGATAATGAATCAGTGGAATATGTGAAACATCAAATAAATAACAATAAAAAGAAAAACAACATGTAAATCAGTGAGGGGCATTAGGCAGGAAGTGGCTCTTCTTTGGTCATTTACATTAAGTATACAGAGAGGCAGAAAGGGGCAGTTACACAATAACACACAAACAACTACACAACACAAGTAGATAGACGTAGACATCTAGTGCATATAAAGGTCACTGAACTGGGTCTGTATCTGTGTGTGTCAGTGAGTGGGTGGGTGCGCATGTGTGTGTGTGTGTTTAACATCTTTTCAGAAAAATTAAATGAGTGTTGTATTACGTTACCATATGTTCTATATTATGAAATATTTAGAGAAAGAAAAAACCCCAGTTAACAATTCAAATCCCTAACTTGCTGACAGCCAAAATGACATCACATAACTGGATATCTGGAAACATTAGCTGAGAATTTGCCATCACAAACCATCACTTTGGCAGTGGACGAGCCAGTGTCTGCCTGGAGAAGAATTTAACAACTAATGCGACATTTGTTCAAGTTTAAATATACTGTATGTCTTACCTTTAAATATAAGGTATATTTTTCTTTTATATTCATGTTTTTTTAATGTTGACTTAATGTGTGATGGCAGCCTGTTTAACCCTTTATATAAAAAAAATATAGATAATTAAAAAAATATTTTTTTTTTAGAGATTTGGTTCAGTTTATTTTTTAGTTCATTTTTTACTGCAGTCATTTAAAAAAAATGGCTACGGCTGGTTTCCACTGGGCAACGCATCCTTTCCTCCTAATTACACAGTTTAATTGACTGGAAACTCATTATGCTACTATTTGCAGTTTGGCAAGTGTTTGGCAATTCTTATACTTTTTAACAGTCAGTAGTTACCGCTGACTGATTTTCCTCTTCTTATGTGCACAGAAATGTTAACAGAAAACAGATATGGACTGCAGGCAGGTCAATCAGGTACAAGACTATTGTTACAAAACCACAATTATGTTATTTGTCTATTATTTGTATTAAATCCTCATCAGTGTCTCAGATACACAGATCCTTTCCCCTAAACCGTCCCAGAGGCTTGAACATTTTGTTAAAAAGATTTAGCTTTAATATAACAACATTCTTGCCATAGAGGAGCCAGTTACAAGTTAGACTAAAGGTGCAGCACATAATTTAATTTCCAGGAAAATACGTTGATGAGTAGAGTCTTATATCACTAACTAAAAATATCACTAACTAAAAATACAAACGAGTACAAAGGGTAAGTGTACACACTTAACATCTCAAATTTCCCTGCAGTCACATAGTTTTCTTTATAAATGATTTATAAATAGAGTCATAAGAATCATCTTTTTCTTTTATCTAGATACACAAAAAATAGAATTTGATTTAATTTAACCTAACCTAATCTGGACAACCAAACCTGTTACTAGTTTTCTCCCTATTTATGAACCTTCCAGAATGTTCCTTATATCTTTACTTTAATTGCCTTCGCCACCAAACATCTTTATTTTATGTTGTACAGAGATTTGATGGATTTAGAATTAAAGAATACATTTTAATTTCTTTCCTATATCCTGACATAAACCTCATCCTCACTGAGACAA